ATTATTTTATGAGTTATTAAACATCAAAATGGGTCCGGGACTTTATAAACACCCAGTATATATATATATATATATATGCATAGAGATATATATATATAGATATATATATATATATATATATGTATGTATGTAATATATTCATTTATTTGTGTGACTATTGATTCTGTTACTGATTTTAACTGTTTATTCCTTTTATTAATAAACATTTCATATTTATTGGTATTATTAAAAAGAATAATAATTTATTTTCCCTTTTTCAATTATTAGAACTAAAATTATCAAAGGTTGATTTCAACAAAGGAAGTAAAGAAATATTAACTTTTAAAGAAAACAGGAAAAATTTTGCAACAAACTATTTTACATTTGAGGTTTACAATGATATTTTACTGTGATTCAAAATAAATTATTCTAAGATTAATTATTATTTAATTATTTCAAAAGTAATACTTGAATTATAATTATTATATTTTGTCCGAAATTATTATTATTAATGAAATAAGGATATAGAAGCATACCAAAAAAACTTATTAAATGTTTTTTCTTTATACTGTTTTCTGGAGGAACACATTGATTAAAAAATGGTCCCTTCTCATAAAAAATTAGTTTAACAAAAAAACTGTTGGTCTTTTGTTGAAACTTCCTATGAAAACCTGGAAGAATCAAAGAACTTTTTTATAGTAATGTGAATTTTGTGTTTCAGAAGTATATTGTAAAATATTTATCAGTTTAATAATTATTTACTTTTGTATTTTCTATAACAATAATTTTATTGTTTTGTTTAGTGATACATCTACAGAAAATGATTCTTGGTATGAAAGAGATATTTATAAGCAAGAAAGAGAAAATTTCACGCGGCAAAGAGAAAATGCACATATTACTTTTCGTGCCAATCAAAGCTGGATATTAATTGGTTGCTTTGTGCTTGTTGTAGTTGGATACTTGCTGTATTATGCTGCTTATAGGTATTTTTAATATTCATTTAATATTTAGATTCCTTACTTTCAGTTAATAATAATTAGTGTGACAGAGCAATAATTTTATAATTTAGCAAGGAGCATATAATGACTAAATAATTAGGTGTGGTTGAAGTTGGAATTGGTATAATTGACTAATTAAAAATTGTGATGAAAATAGGATGATAAAAATAACAGTTGAAGAAGAAAAACTAGATAATAATTATAATAAAACTTTTATTTAGTATTATTTGCAGAGCTCAAGATACAAATTCTAATTTTATTGATAAGACTTTCTAAGTTAAATAAATTTTGTATAATAATATTAAAAAGGACAGGCCATGAGAGATAAATTCCCTTTGACCTGCCTAATCAGAAGCCAAGTTAAAAAGTGATTGAGTTGTTCACAACAGACAGTTAGGAGCATGGAAGAGATCCAAGGTGATTTATCGAAAGATAACATCGCCAAAAAAAAAAACAAAGCCAACTCCCCTTTATTAGTATTAGGTTTGAAAATACTTAGGCCATCGCGAATCGCCAACAAGACTGTGATAATTAGTATAACCATGTAACTGAAACATTGTTGTGGTTAGAAATGAAGAGTTATAAATAGATTTTTGTTTTCGATTAGGCACAACAGTGAATTACTGAGTCTACATTAGTATTGAAATAAAAAGTTAGCTGTTGCATTGATTGAAAAGAAAAGAATAAAATCTTTTATATTCGCTTTTTATAAATTGTAATAAAAATAAAATAATTGGTTCTATTTATTTAAAATTCGGTTAAGAATGATTTAAAAAAATAAGTTTTAAGAAATTAAAGAAATTTTAAAAGCTAGGAAATATGTAATGCCTATTGTGGCATCACAGAGAAAGTTCCAAAATATGTAATCATCTGAACTAAGCATAGTGAATTAGATTTACAGAAGAGTCTCGATTGTTCGAGTTTTCCATAAATCCGAGCTAGTACAAAAAAAAAAAAAAAACAGTCTTGCTCCTAAACAATGACCAATGCACCCACAACACGGGGAATGATTACTACGATTGGTTTTATGACAATCACGACGACTGAATGTAAAAAAGAAATTAGTGTTTTAAACCCTGAAGTATGTGAACAGTGTGTTTAAATAAAAAAACATTAGACAATTATTTTAAAGTACAATTAACCTGATGCAGTAATATAATGAATATTGTTACTGGATGTAATGTAGTACATGTACTCTGATTTTCTAATGGGATTAATTTTTCTTTAAGTATAATATTAATTAAATGTTGAAATTTAAAAGTTGCTTTATTTCCATTTATTTAAGTATTTATTAAATTGTAAATTTTCGATAATTTATGTTTTCGAAAGTTCAAGATAGGCTTGGTCCCATCCACCTCCAATTATCGACACTCTACTGTATGTGGTTTTTTAATGCTTATTGTATTTAGATATTGTATTATGCATACTGTTCAAATTGACTTGTTCAATAGAAATCAAAAATATTTCAATTAACTGTCTACTTCTCAAACAAATACAAGGTATCAAATTGTTGGTAGCCTTAATCTCTCATTTTTATATTAGATGAAAATTAAAGATAACAGTGAAAGAAATAGCATCCATTACATTAAAATTAGTTTTTTAAGACAAAGCTTGTAACTTTTAAGTGAACATGTATAAAGCATGTTTTTTTAATATACCCTCACTTAAAGCTTGTAACTTTTAAGTGAGCGTGTATTAAAAAAAAGAATTTTTTCGATATAGTAATATTTTGAAAAAATGAAATCAAAATTTGCTATTTTGTTCTTAGTTTTAATATCCAACTTAACAGTTAGACATGAAGTAAATGGAAATCAAGAAACTCATCTGCGCTATTTGTGCATTGCAAAGCTTTTATGAAATAAGTGTCTTATTTTCATTTTATTTCTTTAAAATTTCTATTGCTTGATCTATTATAATTTAATTTCATTATTGAATATTAAATTTGAGTTTTATCTTCGTAATAGCTATGCTAAATCCACTTTGAAGCAAGTAGATGCAAGAAGCAAAAAAATAAGGGAAAATTATGATGCAACTGTACAAAAATCAGTGTAAGTGTGAAATATGCTTTATTACGTTCCTTTGTTACTAATCAGTTTTTAACTGAAGTATTTGATTATCAATTTTATATTTCCAAAGTATTAATTAATTTCCAATTTCTTATGTCATGGCATAAGCAGTTAAACTGTAAAAGAGTGGTTTCCTTTTTATTTTATAATTTTTATTATTTGTTTTTAGTTTTTTTTGTTTTGTTATTGTCTTTTATTGTATTCCTTTTATTTTGTTTTGATTTTTGCAAAATTGTTTAGTTTTATTCTAACTTTCTTGAAGCTGTATGAATAAACTAGTCTTTAGATTTGACTGGCAAAAAGGGTAGACTGTACCAAAATTGCTAAAAATAATTACTTTTTTATTTTTTTTTTCCAGCTTTGATAGAGACCAAACTATAAAAGTGCTTAAAGGTGCTTATTTGCTATTTTCGTTTCTTAAAAGCCCTTAAAGGTGCTTTTTTCATTGGGTGTTTTTAAAAAGTGCTTAATTTTCCCTTTTTCAAAATGAGATTTTTTCTTTACTCTGTTGATTTTAGCTTCGAATTAAGCAAAAAGACACAGTTGACATTGTTCTATTCAACGTTTTAACGATTCATTTAACCCCAATCGATTTCGGAGTATTGTCAGTCCGCAGCCTATGAAAACGCCATTCATTTTACATGATTCAAAATTTCATGATTTTTGGCAATTAACAAAAACAATGCCGAAATTTTTTTTTTTTAACATGACAGTTAAAACAAGATAAATCCGTCAATTGTCAAAAACTTTCCAAACTTTTCTAATTATGATATTTTTTTAAAGTGCTTAAAAATATTTTTTTAATGGTTGAAAAGTGCTTAAAAGGTGCTTATTTTTTGTTGAATAATTTGGCTACGCACCCTGATAAAACAATAAGCAATTTTTGTAAAATATTTTTTGTTTATTTATAATTTATTGAATAGCTTTTTTTGTAAATTTTTCTAGATTCTAAATTTTCATTTGATTTTGTAAAAAAAAAAATTATAATAATATATATAAAAAAAATAAAATTAATGATTTTGTAAGATAAAATTGGTTCATAATTACAGCTCTCTTCCTTTCCTTTTTAATAATAATATTTTAATGCAGTGCTTTCCTTTTTAATAATAATATTTTTATGCAGTGCTTTTTTGTCTTTCGACTTCAATTAATTCTAACGGGTTGATAATTACTCCGAAGATTGGCTATCACTATTAGTGAATTTATCTCGTTTTCTTGAAATACAGGAAAACTACTCAAGTAACTAGTAAAGGGGGTAAGTAGCAAAAAAGGATATATTATTACAACATGATCTATATAGGACAATGGTTGCTACTACAACTACATTAAAAAGTGTAGATGTCTTTTTACAAGAACCTTTTGTCAGTTACGGTTACAATTGACAATTATCGATGCCATCGATCTGTGGTTTCTGATATTTCCACAGCTTCCTTTTTAGTAATAATTTTTAGTTATTTATTAACAAATATAAGACAATGTACTAAAAACTGTGAACTTGATCTCTCCCAAACGTTATAATTGAACTTTTCAAACTATTTTTTGGATCAGGAGCTAAAATTGCTACTTTTACTCACTGTCCAAATTTCAAGATGCTAGCATAAACTGTTCTGAGTTATAGGAGAGACACAAAGACTAACTCATCATTTTATTGTTATAGATTGTGTAGTTATCAATGGGCTTTTTTCTGCCAAAGTCCATCCTTTCGTATTTCTTATAGAATACTTCAGAGTACTTTCTTTTCAAAAATAGACAAAATTTCCTCATTTTTCTGAGTTTTCTGTGTCATGTTTCTGAAGCATAAGTTAGTATAAGTCAAATGAAGCATTTATATAGCTTGAACTTAGTTTTCTGACCCATCTGATGTGATTTTAAATATTTTCTCAAGCCATAAAAACATTTATCAGATTTGATACTTCTTTTTTGCACCCATGATATATACCTTTAGTGATGTTAATTTGCAATTCCAAGTAGGTAAGACTATAAAAAAAATTTCAAGCTTACAAACTTCCATCTCTAAAGCAGTACCCTCTCTTTGTAAATGTCAGATATTTTATCTTTGCAGCATTAACATGTAAATTAGTTTTTCTTGATTGTTCTTCAAGAGCCAAAAAATTCTTTCAGATCACCTTTCTTTCTTGTAATTATGTCTACATCATCAGTATAGGGCACAATCTGTACAGGTTCATTCAGAATGTTTTGCCTTATCTGGCATCTCTTAACTTTTCAAGTGCTATGTTGAAGAGGAATCTGACCAAAGCATCACCTTGCCTAATGCCATTGAACATATCAAAAGGCTGAAAAGTTACTTTGAAATTGTGCTCTCATATTTGTGTCCTGCTGCGTTAATAAGACTAATCTTATAAGTTTGGTTAAGATATAAAATTCTTTCATTGATAAAATAAGTTGTTATCGATCTATTTTGTCATAAGCTGTTTTTTTAAATCTATTAAAAAACAGTAAGTTTCAATTCCAAATTCCACTGTTTTCTCACGGATTTGTCATTGGTTAAATATCTATTCTATTGTAGATCTACCTTTCTACAAGTATGTTTTTTGCTTGCAAAATTCTGTGAGTTTACATTGTTTTGTGTTTAAGGTCATTAATTTTTCCATATTAAGAGTAAGCTAAAAATATAGCTGGAGGCATTTTTTTTTTTTTTTGGCATTTGAAAACTCTTTTTAATGATTTTGAATGATTTTAGTTTTTCTGTCCTACGTGCTTTTGTCTTATATCATTCCTTAAATTCTCAAAATCGCTGTCATTTCTCAACACAAGTTGGTCCATAGCAATCAATGTGCTGTCCATCACACTATTAAAATTCTTTTCATCTGCTGAATATGAAGCAGTTGAACAGTCTTTTGCTCACTTTTAAGACAGTGAAAAAAGTTGCATCATCTATTGTTCTTCTATTCCCTTCTAAAATCAAACTAACAAAATTAAAACTTTCAATTGAAACTTTTTTTTTTAAAAATGACAAAAATCAAAAATTTTAAGTGTTAAAATCCGTTATAGAGGGACAACCACTTCATTACATGAAGAATGTTTTATGTGTTATTTGACACTTTGATTAAAATGTTTGTTGTAAGGAAAATATTTGCTGCTGGGACTTCATTATATTGTAACTCAGGGTTCCCACGGTCCTTAAAAATCCTTAAAAACTGCTTAACTTTTATTTTGAAAAATAAGGGCCCTTAAAAGTACTTAGTTTTGGTACAAGGTTCTTAAAACTGCTTAATTTTTCAGCATCACTATAGTTGATAGAAACAATTTTTCAGTTCAATGTTTTAGGACAAAAAGTCGTTCTCTTATCACCTAGAATTAGATCATGCGCGGAGAATAAAGCATTTTAGAGAGACAAATCAGGATGTGTGTGAGATGGCTACAGGCAAGGAGAAGATAGCATGTCTTAATTATATTTTGGTTCTTTCATTAATATATTGCCTTTTGCCTCGAATGATACTCTATAAGAAGAGTGACATTCTGAAAGAAAAGAGTTGAGTGTGGACAAGGGAAATACTGCAGATGGAAGAGATAGTGCTTTCTTTTTTTTGGGGGGGGGGCAGTTCTAAGGTACTTAAGTAAAAGTAGGAGACCCACACTGATCTTCAAAATTGACAGAATTCTAGAAATTCAGTTCTACTGGTAATGCATCTGCTAATAGGAATAAAGTAAAACCCTAAGAAGAGAAGCATGAGAAAAAGGTTTTGAACTGGAATCCGTAACAAAAATTATTTTCAAAAATCTTGGAAGAATTCAATAAATTTGTATAATATATCAGTGTGTAATAAGTAACTGCAAATTTATTAAAAGCAGCAACATTTTTCAAAATTCATGATTGTACTAAAAATTAGACAAATATGTAATAAAAAGGGTTTGAAAAATCCCATCCCGCCTAGGTTTTATATCAAAAACCTGAGATTTATTGAGTTTTTGATGGAAAACTCAATAAATCTCAAGTTTTGTCAAAAATATTTTAAATTTTTATTTCTGAGTACTAAATAATGCATGATTTGCTCCTAACAAGGAAGTTAAATGTTAGGTAACTATTTATAACTTCTTTTGCTTCAATGTAATTTATTTTTTTAAAGTTTTAGATTGTTACACAGTTAGATTGTTTTTGTTTTTTAAGGATAAGCAGATTGTTATATAAAAATTTAAATCTACATAATTAAAAGATCCCAAGCTTTTTATTATTAATGTCTATTAGAATAAAATTCAAACTTTGATTTTAATAATCATTTTTCTCAGTTAACATTGCCACTTAATATACTGTTTCTTTTTTATATATTTTTTTTAAAGTTTCTATTCAACTTTTGGTTGCTTTAAAATTAGTAAATGTTCTTCGTCTGATTGTTTGGTAACATTAAAGTCAATTCCTAATATCAGTTTTGGTTGGAAATAATTGTAAAGCTCATCTTAAAAGTAAATATAACACATTTGCTGTTGAGGAATAATTTCTAAATGGTTAAGTTACATATTACTTTCAATATGTTTTTCAATAGTTTTTTTCAAAACTATTAATTTACCATAGAAATAAAATATCAAATCATAATAATATTAGAGAGTAATATTAAGAATTATACAGGATGATAAAGAAATATAAGTAAATGTCTATCAATAATGAAAAAATAAATAATTTATAAATATTTGTTTGTTCAGTAACCTTACCAATTTTCTAGCCATAGGAATGCGTTGATACCTTTGAAAAATCATTTTGGACCCTATTATTAATATGTTTCACCGAGAACTATTAAAAAACATATTTAGAACATTATTGTTTGAACATTATAGTTTGAAAATTATAAATCTTAAACATAATTGTATTTTTATTCTCTAAAAATTTTATAAAAATATTTATTGCAGCGAATTTAAGAAAAATATATATATAGTTAAGCCTGAAGAAAAAAAAGTGGAATGATTTAAGGTGCTTAAATATTAGTATAACCCGTTTTTACTTAAAATAGGACTTCATTTGACATGACATACTTAAGAAAACTACTCTCATGCATAACTCTAATTTAACTTCTTATTATTAATTTTTTTATTATTATATACCCGTATAAATGAAACATTTTGTTAATAGAGAAAAAGAATTTTTTTGGCATAATTGAATATTTACCAGNTTGCAAAATTCTGTGAGTTTACATTGTTTTGTGTTTAAGGTCATTAATTTTTCCATATTAAGAGTAAGCTAAAAATATAGCTGGAGGCATTTTTTTTTTTTTTTGGCATTTGGAAACTCTTTATAATGATTTTAGTTTTTCTGTCCTACGTGCTTTTGTCTTATATCATTCCTTAAATTCTCAAAATCGCTGTCATTTCTCAACACAAGTTGGTCCATAGCAATCAATGTGCTGTCCATCACATTATTAAAATTCTTTTCATCTCCTGAATATGAAGCAGTTGAACAGTCTTTTGCTCACTTTTAAAACAGTGAAAAAAGTTGCATCATCTATTGTTCTTCTATTCCCTTCTAAAATCAAACCAACAAAATTAAAACTTTCAATTGCAACTTTTTTTTAAAAAAATGACAAAAATCAAAAATTTAAAATGTTAAAATCCGTTATAGAGGGACAACCACTTCATTACATGAGGAATGTTTTATGTGTTATTTGACACTTTGATTAAAATGTTTGTTGTAAGTAAAATATTTGCTGCTGGGACTTCATTATATTGTAATTATACTGTAGTTCAAATTATGAATGCCTTGCTATATTAAGCGATGTAATATACATTCTAGAAATATGTTTAATTATAAAATAATCATTATTTTTAATTGGTTTATCAATATTAAAATTACAAAACATATGTACCATGAAATAGACTAATATGTTAAAATAGTAGATGAATTTCTGTGTGACTGTTAAAAACCATTATTATTAAGCTAAACAAATGTTTTCTATTTTTATCTTATCGACTATCGCATAAGCATATTTTAGAAGTTGAACAGCTGTTATAAAGTTGTTTTTTTAATATATGTATATCTATATATCTTAATTTTTATTAAGAAATAGATCTAAAATATTTTTATTCATGAAGAATGCATTACATAACAATGTAAGAATGTTTCTATTACATTACATTACCATGCAATTTAAAGAGAAATGTATATAATATTATTTTGTGAATTTTTTTTAAAACAAAATATGTTTAAAATTTAAGGCCATGAGTAAAATGAATTTAAGCTTTCAATTGTTGTTATCTAACTATAAATACAAAAGAATTACATTAAATGATGATAATAAAAAACAGCATCAAATTCACACTTTTGCTGGTTGAACTTATGCTACAATATTTTTTATTTCAAATGAATGAAACAAAAAGTCACTTTTGGAGTTATAATAAATATCAAGTATTTAATTTGAACAGTAAAATTTGAAAGGAAAGGAAGCCGTTTTGCCAGCATGTTTTTGGGAAATACATATTTATACTTTGACTTGAAACTAGGGAGGGAAAAAATTTTGAAATTTCTGTGAATAAATTGATTTAAATATTTAGAATCATTATAATAGAAAATTTTCTCTCCTTAAGATTGAAGGCAGCACTTATAACAGGATCCAGAAGTGATTTATGCTTAGTTTTTTCATATTTTTTTTTTTTCATTTTATTTACTTCCAATCACAGTTATTTATTTATTTACCCATTAACAAAATGAATTTTAAATTATGAAGTTGAAAGCTTTATTATAAAACAACATAACTGTAAGTGAAAAAAAAAGTTACAAGGAAATATAGAAAAAATTTTATTCTTGAACATTTAATGTTTCCCATTTACAACAAAAAAGGAAACAAACATCTAAACGAGCAGAAAGATTAAAAAACTCAGTTTAACTAGACACAAAATCTTATTTTATAATATGTTAATTTTTAGATATCTTCAATGTAAATTGTTCTTGAAGGAATGATCTTAATTTGTAATTTTATAGTTGTTATTAAATATTCACTGTAGAAATTGCAAAATGCTGCACGCTCTTATTATTATTTGCCATTATTATTATATCATCATTATCCATGTTGTTATTGTTTACCAATTATTCATAGTTTGTTTTTATTTGTGTTCAATTTTCTAGTCTTTTGTTTTTCATGGCTGCTTTTCTTAATTCGCGGCTATTTTTATCCTTACGTTGTTTAGGTGCTGTATGAAGTTATTTATTATTTTTTCCTTTATTTCAGTGAAAGTGGAAGAGAAAAATTATTTGAAAGATGGAAAAATCGACTTAATAAACCAGATGAGTAGATAGAAATATTGTGTGTAGTGATAGAATGAAAATATTTTCTTGAATGTTGAACTATTTGTTTTTAATAAAATTCTATTTATTTTTATTTTATATTCTTCCTGTTTCCGCACCATTCCATCATGAATTATGAATTTATTGTTCTTTCCTTTTGATTTGTTAGTAAGTAAATTATAAAAATGTTGGGAGACACAATATTTTCGAGTTACATATAAATGGTTATTTTGTGGATTTCCAAAGTAACAAGATACAATATTACAAACAGAGTATGTTCAGTCTTATAATCTAGTGCGAAACGCTTAGTAGATTTTTATATTCATTAACTAGAATGAAAGTGTTTTGAACAGTATATGTCCAGTCATAGTCTATAAAGAATATTGGCCAGATCATAAACATTAGTATCTTTTTTGGAAGAGGACCGCTTTGATTTCATTTTTAAAAAAGGGGGATGCAATACTATATACAATTTGGTTAAATAATTTACTTTCTCTATTTGTAAAATTCACTCAAGCTTTTGTACAACAATAAGCAGAGGTAATTTCTTTACTTAATCTCAATGCTTGTTATACCAGAATCAGCCAAAATTATTAAAAATAAGTCATAATACACTAAAATTAACTAGAAAATGTTTAAAAATGGGTTACTTGTTTTTGATTTTTTTTTTATACTGAGGAAAAAATGTGCACGCTTTCCTTATGATTTATTTTCGTTCCTTTGTTTGGCACCTGTGTAATGCATAATTCTCATTTAGTTTAATGTGTTATTGTTAAAAGCAGCACTGCATTAAATGTAAAACAGTTTTATTAAAGCCTCTTCCAAGTCTTCTTTTCACACTTTTGCAAACACTGCATAAGTGTTTCACAAACACACAAAAGTCCAATGTTTGCATGGGCTTACATAAAAAGAGAAAAACAGGATGCAACTAAATACCACCAGATGTGTCGTACATCTTTAAAGCAGTAGGTGCCCGGGATTAGGAATTCTGTGGAGGAAATTAAATGTGTCTGATACTGTTTTGGATTTATATTTATTTTTGTTCTTTAAATTCAACCTAATATTTTTTTTTGCTATGATGGTCTGATGAATAATTATCAAAATTTATCAAAGAATTATTTATCATTAGAATTAAAAACAGCATGACAGCTTCACACATTTGTAATCATATTTTTTTTATCATTAAAATCTTTTTGAAGTTTTTTTTCAATTTTTCAATGGGGTTGAAATTGTAGTGGAAAATAAATCATACTTTTTTCACAGGTCAATATTTTCATGTCATCTAACTGTAGTAAAATTTTGATCTTTTTTCTGCATTAAAAACTATTTGTTAATAAAAATTAAGAGTATGTTTCGCAAACATTTGTTGAGGAATATACTAGCAGGCACATAAGCAATAAGTGCCTAAATCTATTCAATAGCGTGCGTATACCAACTTTTTTTGTTAGTTATTTCAAAGGACACCCACAATTTGTTATTCCTTGGTTGCTGCCCTATAGCTCTGTAATTCGTGCCAAAACTGAAAGAAATATCACATTCTTTCTCTTCATTGCTTCTATAGATAAGTTGTAGGTTAATTGAAAAATCCAGCTCTTGAAATGTCACATTCATTTTGAAAAGAGCCAAATTAATTGGAAAAATCTCCAGTAATTTTTTTCCCACCTGGTATGTTTAGAATAATTACAAATGGCTTAATATGGTCTTAGGCTTATTAGAAAACGTGTGAAAAATTAATCAGCCTGAACTTGCTTAATCTTATTGCAATGAGCTTTGGCTCATTGCAAACAATTTGAAATAAATCTGGCTAATTTAGATATAAATTATAGATTTTCTAATCAACTTGAAGGTAAATGGGTGACTTTTCAAGTAGCCCATGACTTATAATTTTTGAACTTTAGTTTTTTTTTTTTAAGCACTTTAGAAGGAAAAGAAAAGAAATTTTCACAAACAATATGACTGAATTATGATAAAATGACTTCTCAGAATTTGAGGAAAAGTTCTTCATTAAATTTTAAATTTGAGTTATGGGTGCATTATCAGAGTTTTAATTTTTTTTTTTTTGCTAAAAATTTCGTTGTTAAACAAGGGCTACAATAAACGAGTTAGATTGCAATAAATTTATAAGGACACTGAATAAGTACTTTCAAAAATTTTAATTAACAGCAGTACAATAATGTTTTTCAAATTTGTAATATGTCTTATTACTATATTAAAACAAGCAAATTTATTTGTTAATTATTACCATTACCTAAAATCTTCAAAACAATTTTTTAGTCTTATATTAAAACTTATCTTAACCGTAAAAATTTTTCTTCTAAAGTAAAAAAATATCCAACCAAACTATTTTTTTATGAAATTCCTCTATAGAAAGAAATGATTTCTTTAAAATTTCTGGTATATCCTGAAGTAAGTATAAGATGCTACGAAACAATGAAATCAAAATATATACAAACAATCAAAAATATATTTGATCTTTTTAATTCCATTCCTAAGTAAATATTTTATATACATATGAAGATGATGCTCATAATTTTGTAACTTTTCACTACACAGAAAATAAAATAAAGTTATTTTACTTAGATGTACTGAAAGTCATAGGATAGCTGCATGGAAATATTCAAGTGGTGGTATCATCTCATAATAAAAGTCTGAGTTAAAAATGTATTTTCACTACTTTCATTTGTAGTCTTTTAATTTATGTGAAAAATTTGAGTAATTCAGTGCGCAAGCTGGGTCTTAACCTGCTTTTAATGCAGAAAATATGTGGCATAACATCTTGAATATTGTTACAGAATTCAACAAACCACAGTGTCAATTGCTTGTTGCGAATACTTCTTTCAGACATAACTTTTCATCATGCGCGACGTACTAATATCGACTGTGCATATAGTTGTGACTACACTGTCAAGAAACTCTGTGTTAAATTAACAGCAACTTTGGGTATACAACTGATACCCAAAGTTGTATACAACTGACGTGGCCTTGTGGATGCTGTGTAAAAATTTGGTTTTGTTGGAGTATGCTTTTAGAAAACAGACTTGAGTGCCTTTGCTTAACGAGTACTGCACTTTTCCTGCCTTCTTTAACTTGTCTGTGGAACCGTAGTTAACTAAAAATGAATTGATTGACCAGAGGAGTCATAGTCCAATCTGGGGTCGCTGAGGTTAATTCAGCCTGAATTTCAATTTAGTAGTCCCTTCAAAAAATATACTGTTTTTTGTTTTCGAAATTAAAAAATCTAAAAAAATTCTCTGTGGAAAGAAATTTTCCAAAATATAATCAAAATCTGAGTAAATATAAAAAGTTATGCTTTCTAATGAAGAGTTTCCTGATTATGAATCTAGTATAGAATACTAGCGGTATTTTTTGACAGTATATAAGAAAGCTTCATAATTACATTATTCATAAAAATATGGTGTAAGCATAGAAACTGGATGATTTCGGTTAATTATAATCTAATTAATAATTGATTAAAAAATTGATTCATTGAAAAATTAATAATTGTTAAAAAATTGTTCTTTAATCTAACTAATAATGTTTCTCAAAAATTGTAGAATGCATCTCAAATATAGATTTATAGGTAGAGAAATACTCTTGATATGGGTTAAGGTAAAAATGTTTTATAACAAACATTTTTAGTGCCCCTTCAGATACAGGTCCCAGGCCCTGATTCCAAGTGTTAGGTGGTAATCATACGCTTTGAAGTATGGTCGAGTTGTTGGATTTCTCTGGGCTTTAAGGTGTCCACCACATTATCTGGAATCCCATGACTTTGCCACTTCATTGAATAATTAGTTTTTTTAATGAAACCTGGAGGTGGCTCTAATAATCGCCTACTAACTGCTCTTTGTTTCCGTCTGAAATCAATTTTTTTAATAGTTTTGTCTCCTCCTAATGTGCATACATTAGGACTTAATTTTTGACTTGGATTTTAAAAATATATTGTATTTTTTTTATATTTATAATCGAGTTTTAAACTTTTAGCTTATAGAAATTATGACAAATATATTTTTGGAACAATTTTGGGCAAAATTATATACGTTTAAACCGGTTGTGTATTAAGCGAAACACAGTCAACCCTGACCCTAGGTCACTTTAGAATACTGTACATTTTCTCTCGTGGATGATATCGGCAGAATGGAGGACTGGGTGTATCTTCTTCGGGCCACTGTTACAACTCCCACCATGGACACACAGAGAGCCATCATAAGAATGGCCAGTCCAGCAAGTCCCCATGCCGTGTAGCTGGGATCTTCTTGGAAAGGTTCCCTTTTGGGTTTCTCTGTGCTTAAATTGTGATAGTATATTAAATCTGGAATTAGGAGATTCCAGAATTCCATGGCTTCACATCTGTAATTCAGTTTATGGAAAGAACTTTCTGTAATCTCTACATAATTCGTCTGATGTTTGCTCCGGAATGTCTTCCAAACTGATGAGTCTCCTGGCAATCTGAAAAATATGTATTTGTTGCAAGTTATTCTGGGAAAAATGGTTATTTTAAGACATGATATTGATGAATGTGTTCTGAAAATTATGTTGTGTAATTGGTTATAATTAAAGTTCCTATGTCTAAAGAGTTTTATGAAAAGTTTTTTCAGATTTGTCTAGATTAGGAATAGGAAAGAGAATAATAACGGAATCTGTTGATCATCTAGTGAAGTCACCCCCAAATCTTACTCTCTTATTCCGTGTAAGCTATGCTTTGCTTTTTCACTAGCCGAGGACACGCACTCCGCCATAGTTGAGTAAATTATGTTGTTTCTAATGTTACTTGGACAAGCCAAGTTCACCAATGGCCTTTTGCAAATTAAATCAGGAAGGTAAGCCTTTTGTTTGACAAACACAAAAGAGCACCGCAACGGTGAAATTAAGTCTTGGCTTAGAACCCCACGGATAGATAGCTGCACCACTTTTTCGTGAGGCCACTTCCCCAATTTAGACATAAATCAGAAGAAGAAATTTTTTCCAGATTCCTATACTACCGACCACAGGAGTTTCGATTCCACAGATTCTACGAGCATATATATCTCAGGCACTAGGTGGGTCTTAGCGAAGTCGAGGATCGAAACCGGAGTTCGATTCTCTAACCACTGGGCTACCACGGACCACGTAAATTATTGATAAACTGATTTAGCTGTTTAAATATAAAACTGTAAGTTTATTTTTAATTCCAAAATTTGCTACTAGTAAAAACTTCTTAACAATAGGACAGAAATGTTTTATGAAAAAGTTAACTATTTTTTTAGGGGGGGGGGAGGCATGTATTAGTATGCATTACTTGATAGAAGTATCAAAATAATGGTATTTAAAACTAATTTTATTTAACAAAATATATTATTACTTGACATTAATTTTGCTTGCAATAGACACTTTATGGAATTAGAATAAATAAAATTGACTTTAAAAGCAAAAAATAATGCTTATTTATAATTCTAAGATTTCACCAGGTTAAGATCCATGATCGATGCACTTTATGTTTGCTCTATGGGAAAAGTTTTGTTTCGTTTATTTTCAGTTGGCTACAGATACCTCATCGATGTGCTGCTTTTTTATTGAAGATATTGAACTGTCAAAAGATACTATATCATCAAAAGTTTGTTAAGAATAAAACATTTCGATAAATTTTTGTTAGGAGACAGCTGAGAGCTTGGAAAACTGCACAAATTATGCTTATGAAGAGTGTATTATTTGCTGGATATGACTAGAGTTAAAACACTCACTTTGATTTAATGAAGTTTCCCCACACATCACACAGTAATGTTCTGACGTTAGCAGTCTCATTATTTATCTCTGGTGCTGATTTTTCGAGTGTTTTGTTAAAAATATAGAAAGCGTCCTCCATGTGAGTCACTCCTGAAAAGTAAGATTTAGTAAATACCGAATGTGTTCTTATTGTACCTTTTTTACTTGTATTTAATGTTCATATTTATTCTTTTATCTTCATTGTATTCTGTCCTTTTTTATATTCACAACTGCTTAAACTTATATCTACATTTCCATTCTTCGCAATTTTATTTGGAAAGTGTGGATGCATCAAAAATGTCTGGAATATTTTAAAACATTGTGCCATCAAAACATTGCTAAAATTGCAGAAAAATGTTATAAAATCTCCATTTTAATATTGGAAAGCATTTTTTTTTCAAAGCGGGGGGAAAATGGTGACGCTTTTAACTTTAACGTATGGACAGTGTCCCTGTGATAGTAAACCTAATCACTAATTAGACGATTATTTTATCATTTCATTATTATTATTTAAAATTGGTTTTATACATTTTCCTTTTTTTATGTAGAGATGATGTCAAGTACTAATAAAGATAAAGAAAATATTTCCATAACCTAAAGTAATTAAAATATGATAAAAATATATAATTTCTCTTCAATTTTCTATTTCTGTAATTAATGTAATATACATTCATATGCTTGAATTCATATGCCAATATTATTTTTAAAATAATGGAACAAAAAAATCAAACAAATGTTATAACCTATTACTGCATAATGAATGTTTTAGATAAATTAATATCATAGATGTTTCTTTTATCAAGTATGGTTAATATAGAATGAAAAATAAATAAATAGGAGTAAATAAAAAAATATGACAAAATGAAAATAGGCACTAAATTGTAGAGTACTTTTTAAATCTACAGCATCAACTTAATTGAGTGCCCTATTAAATCATCAAATCTACAATATTATTTTTGATAGAGTACACTATTAAATTTAATAGGGTACTTTACTTTGGCTAACTCACCCAGCTTCAGATCGATGGGTACCAACTTGCCTGGGAAGTAAATTTGACTTATGCGTAAATGGACTACATTGTCACAATCATGCCATTGAAAGTCGTGGTGGCTCAGGCTAACCTCGTCATCAGGCTAACTGTGGGAAAGTTTCGTTTTTCTTCCTCTCCATGTAAAGCAAATTCTGGTCAGTTTTATCAAAAATTCCTCCACGATGGTAAATTTCTCCCAATACATGATCCAGGAGTTCCCTCGACTTCTGGATAGGGCTCAAAATTACAAAGCTACGGATTTGAACATTTAGTAGTTATAAACCCAAAGAGGGTCTGCTGTTCATCGATGGTTAAAAAATAAAATACAATCATATCGTTGGACTCTAAATTGTGAAGCTTTAACCTCCATTGCCTCTCTGGCCCACAAAGGGCTGTTGCGGGAATGCATTTTACTCTGATTTAGAAAAAGAAATTTAGAAAAACACGCAGCCGTGAGACTACAGTGAAAATCAATCAGCTTCTGAAGGTGTCATTAAACCTGGAGATACTATTTTAAATAATTATAATAAAGCCTGCAGTAAAAAAGCTTGCTGATATTTTTATAACCATTACATTAAATTTGTTTAAAAAACTTTTTCTATAACTTTACCTAACAATATAATTTTTTAATTACATTTGCTAAAATTCGAAAAACTATTTGTACTTTCTAACTATTGCAACAAGTAAATTTTACGGAAAATTTATAATTATATTTATTGCAAAAATGATACAGTAGCATAATAATACATTGTTTGAATTTAAGTGGAATTTTGAACCTGTTGCAAATGTATAAAATAGATAAACTAGAATAACTAATAAAGGTACATGTTGCTTTAATTAATGTTCTTTCTAAAACATTTGAGCTTCAGTTTGATGCTTTGGGTGAAATTTAATTTTCCTGAACTGTAACGTAACGTTTAATGTTATTCGTTTGGTAGTTATATTTTTACTATCAGAATTTTGATTCATTGATTCAGGGTGTTTTGTTCTAAAAATCTTTAAGTTGTATTTTTAAAGTCCTCATCGCAAATGACGTGAGCACTCTTAAATAAAACTCTCTCTTTTGACTATTCAGCAATCCTTGAGCTGTATCTTGTTGATTTTGATAATCATTTCGTCATGAGATCACGTAATTTGTGACAAACTCTCGAATATATTAGGAAAATGTTTCCTCAACTCGGAACCTCATCGTAATGCATTGTAGGAGATTTTGGCGAAACTAGAACGACGAAATATTTATTTACTTTTGGCGAAATTAATTTCCTCAAACAAGTGACGATAGTCATTTTGACGAAATGATAGCTCAGAGCACACATCATCAGGAAACGGTTTCGTCAAAAATGAAGAAGGTTACGTGAAATTTGAGTATCCATTTTTTACAGTAAGAAAGGTATGACTTTCGAGTGTTTGAAATTAATATAAAGGAGATGAAAAAGAAAAAACGTTATTAAAATTTTTCAAGTCACTATTACGAAAGATTTGACTAAAACATCAAAACCAGCTTGGTTACCGAAAGAAACTTAAAAGTGTTTCGATTAATTGCCTTTGATTTCCTCACAGCTTTCTTCATCACTAAGGTAGTTTTTGAAGTATTTAACACTCCGTGTGTGCATTACTTTATACAATGCATTAATACAAATATGTTACAACTCAATGCCAAAAATTATTAATTGTAGCATTGTAGTTTGTTGAATTATGTGAACTGTATCAAAGTGAATAATTTTTAAATTACTCTCTAACAAGATGAATTTATTTTCTTCTAACTAAACCTTCATTTAAGCAAACAAATAAATAAAAAGACTAATAAGTTGAGGCAATGTAATATACCTAGAGGAGATTTTCCATTGTCAAAAGCAAAGACGTACATATAGGTGAATTGCGTTCTCACACTGTGCAGACTTAGTGTAGTATGCAGAGGACTGTTGTAGAGGAAATCGTTCAACATCTATACAATGATAGTTAAATAAAATTTTATTCTCAAATAATTAATTTTTTTTTTACAATAATTCATAATTATTTAAATACATATTAAGACTATCAAACAGCGAAATATAGTGAAAGAAGAAGAGAGATCTAGAGAAGAACTATAACTAATTCAGTCGAAAATGTGAAAAAAATCGTTTATTTCAATTAAGTTGATGCTTGATAGTCAGTTGTGTACTTTAGTTTTGGGATTTATTTTCAAGTAAGTTTTTGAGCATTATATTCTAATGGATTTATTTAGATTTTATACTCTTTGTATTTGGTTTTTGTCATTTGTATTGTATTTTCTCTACCTGGACTCTTTAGCAAAACCTTTGGGGTACAGAGAGAGCAACCTAGACATTTGTCGTGCTCTCTCGATAGAAAAGGTTTTGCATTTATGACTTCCTTAGCTGGTACCCCTTGACGACGTCAGCTTCGGTTGTCATATTTATTCTTTTTTTTTTCATTTTTCATTGTTTTTCTTTAATTATTCTTTTGGTTTCAATTTCATTTTGGAATTTCTGCTGCATTGCGCGTTTTTCCACTGGAAGTGTAGTTTCTAATCGCTTTAATCATTTTGATTTCTTTTCTTATTAAGTTTAATTCAATTATTAGTTTAATTTCATTGGCTCAAATTTAAGTTTTAGGTTGCTTCACTCGCAAACTGATACAAAATGAATAAATTAAAAATATTATTGCTTGTTTGAAATTCGATATAATGCGTGAAGTACAATTGTTTGATATTCTTTTTTATTATTACAATTATAGCAACAAATTATTTTTTTTAAAGGAATGAGTGTTGTAAAATTTATTAAGCTTTCCTTACCATTTCCATTTGTGGTTTGACTGATTCAAAAGTAGGGATCTGAGCTCTTCTGAGATAATGATACTTTGCTGCTTTGGCTATCAAGGACAACTCAGGTGATCCTCTCAAATGAGGCTCCAACAAGTGCTTGGCGATGGAATCCAAATGCTTGTGTTTTAGTGCCTCGTGAAAATGCCCTTTCAAATAAGAACAACACTTATAATTTAATATATCTAAGTACAGGCATCTATAGATTCCAATATATTTATATACATCGAAGCCTCTATGATTTCTAATTCTTATGAAATTCATTGCACGGATATTTAAACCTGTTAAACTAAGTTCTAAAAAGTTTCAAAATGAGAAATAAAAAAAAGTAAGGTACAACGTATTAAGACCGTATTAAGACAGGTCTCGTCATTCGACTGTATATTTTTCACTAATGGAAAATTATCTTAATAAATACTTTTTTTTTCAATGCCCACCTGAAGAATGATCTTTCGTCATACAGGCATCTGAAGAGCAGATTCGATGACCACACTTACAGGGACACCATATTAGGTAGGTCAACGTTGCTTCCACAGTAAGGACAGATGGTGCAGAGAAGGAAAGAGCATTCATGCCTTGCCCGGGATTCGAACCCAGAACCTTTTTGATGCAAGGCCAGTTCCTTGACCCCTACACAGGCCGGTNAATGAGGCTCCAACAAGTGCTTGGCGATGGAATCCAAATGCTTGTGTTTTAGTGCCTCGTGAAAATGCCCTTTCAAATAAGAACAACACTTATAATTTAATATATCTAAGTACAGGCATCTATAGATTCCAATATATTTATATACATCGAAGCCTCTATGATTTCTAATTCTTATGAAATTCATTGCACGGATATTTAAACCTGTTAAACTAAGTTCTAAAAAGTTTCAAAATGCGAAATGAAAAAGAGTAAGGTGTAACGTATTAAGACAGGTCTCGTCATTCGACTGTATATTTTTCACTAATGGAAAATTATCTTAATAATAAAATGATCGTGCATTTTTTACTTAATTCTTCCGTTACATAACATTTTAGTTAAGAACGTAACAAAAAACATTTAATTTAAAATTCAAGCTTTAGAAATTTTTGTTTTGGCTAAATTCCAGTTTTTCCAAGATAAACGCTATACAAGGATCACTCTGAAGTTTTTGAGATATGTGTAGACGAGAAGCAGCAAAATAAATAAATAACGGTTTAATTTGAAAATATGAACGATTTTAGCAAAGCAGATTACTTTTTAGTGACTTAGTTTCGAATTGTTTAGCGTGGAATAAATTTTCGACTGAAGAGAAAACGCAGCTGATACGAGAACATTATAGTGCTATGATTTTCTATGATTTTAAAGTGGGATTAAATCAAGAAGAATGCTTTCAATGGCTACAATAAGCCTTTGAAAATAAAAGTCCATCTTGTGTTACTGCAATCAGATGGTTCATAGATTTTCACCGAGGTCGTAATTCTCTTCAGGATGAAGAAAACACAGGAAGGCCGTCATCAGTAGTAATTCCACATAATCTGTTTGTCTTTCGAAAATTGTGAATGGATGATAATCGCTTTACCTACTAATTCATACACAAGAAACTAAACACCAGATCCGCAACGATACATAAAATTACTCATGAAGAATAACATATGAAAAAAAATAGTTTGCTGTTGGGTTCCCCATAATCTAACTGAGCACCAAAACGAGGCGCCCGTCTTGGTCTTTGAAGAACCCGAATAGAGTGAAAAGACAACGTGCAATGAAAAAAGTAACGTATGCCGTTTTCCTCAGATTGAATTTTAATTTTCTTCGAAGAGAAGACGCGATGCATTTATTATTTTAAAGTAATATATAATTACATATAAACCATAATGTACACTTACGATTTATCTCGAGTGATGATTCGTTCCTTGTGACTCCAGCCAAGTACGAAACATTTTTCTGGTAACCCATCTGATAGAGTTTCTGTGGTGTATCTTGAATAAAAGAATGCTTCAGGTGACCATCCACAGTTGGAAGAAATTGATCCTGGAACAAAAACTAGTTTTATTGTATGGAAATGGAATGGATTGCTGAATAGCTGATAATATAAGTTAATTAAAGTTTTTATAGGTTTATGAACCTATGGTAATAGAACTTTAGCTTTTAATATCCAAAATTCTGTGCCGACAAGTTTACAGGTGGTATTCTAAATAATGTGAATACTTCTTTCTTATTTAAAGAATCAGGCACTTACTCTGAATGTAGTAACCCAGGAAAATTTTACAGTTCATATTTCAAAACAGTTGACATATTTCGAAATGTTGTACTCAAAATTTTACCAACAGCCCTATTTTCATCCGCACAAAACTGGCATTTGCTTAATTGAAAGCAGCAGGGCCGTATTAAGGGGGCTACTGGGGCTGTAGTCCCAGGTCCCAAATTTTCTAAAGCCTCCGTAATTTTTTAAAGATTTCTAAAGCTTCTAATGGAACAATTGGTTTGTGTAATTTTCTAGAAATTTATTTGATATTTTCAAGCGTAATGTTTTGCAATATTCTTGAAACATCGTCCTTGATTTTATGTATTATCTTCTTTTGCTTCATTAGCTTGATTTTTCTAACTAATTTTCTGTAACCACTTACTAAACACTTACAATTTCCTAGCGGTCTTTGGTTGGCAAAATTATAACAAGTCTATAAAAAATGGAAATTTCTTTACTTCGGTACTTAGAGTTTGTACTTTGGATACTTCTTACAACCACTTAATATTTATAATTTATTGCATGATATTTTTACTGACATGGACACTTAATTGTACTCTAATGCTTAAAGCAATTACCAACAGCCCTATTTTCATATCTTAATCTAACCTCATACCTTAATCTAACCTCATACCTTTATCTAACCTCATACCCCATCATACCTTAATCTAACCTTGTTAAACAGAACATCTTTTTGATTAAGAGCAATTGATTATATTAGTTTTACTCGAAATTTAATTATTTCATTACCAATATTACTGATAAATATACAAATAAAGTTACTAAAGTGTGAGGTGTGTATGTTACTATAATGGTACTAAAGCTAGTGAAAGAAAGAACTTCAGCTTTCAACTTCTTCTAATAAGCGTAAACGCATTAATACATATAATTTCATTTATACTGAATTGATTATTGATAACAAAAGTTTTCATAATAATTTCTAAAATAGACTTTCATCTAATTTTTTCAAAAAAAAGACACATTATTTTATTTAAAAAGTATAATATGATAGTATTTGGTCTTTGTTGCAACCTCTTTCATGAATGATTCTTTATATAACGAGTGAAGGAAGGAAAAGAGGAAAGGAAATTATTCGAAAGGAATCAAGGAATAAACGTGTTAACAAGTCAGCAAGTCATTTTAAAAAAATTCATAATTTAAAATTCTTTGATTTTTTGTCCCTAAATTGTAAGTCAATCAGATTAAAATTGCAGTCTGTTGGCGTGGAAAAGTGAACAAAAATTTTGTTTGAGAGAACTCCTTTTAAAGTTTAGGAAAGCTTATCTAACACATTCCCGCGTCGATGAAAAGCCAAAAAACTATATATTTTCCATTTATATAAGTTCAAAAACTTATAACAGTTTGATACAATGTTTTGGAAAACGCTCACCACTCGCCACTTACAGTAAAGATGGCGAAAAATACAATAAGCTCATATTTAGCTGATGCATATCATGAAAATTTCATTGAAAAATCAAAATTAAGACAACTTTTACGAACCTTTTTCAATGTTATTTGAGTCCTTAAAAGTTTGTTCAGGTCGCTCATTTTGAGGCAAGTCATGACGTCACTAAAATTTTGGTGACATCCAATTTTCTGCTCAACGGCAGAGAAGGCAGCTGTTCTAGGTCGACCGAAAACCCATGGATCCAGGACAGTTCCACTTCCGGAAATAGCACCACTGAAAAAACCTTAATCGAATTATAGATTTCAATTACATAAATGTTACTTGGTGGAATTTTGACAGTTCCACCAAGAATGATTAGAACAACATATTTAAGATATCTTGACTTGATTTATTGTTAAACTAGAGAGGGTGAGGCAGAATAAGACAAATTAAAAGCCACCCAAATCTGTGATTTATTGTATCAGGTAAGAGTCAATTTTCGAAAAAGATATAAGGCCAAAATTTGATAGGATTCATTAGGTTAGATTGAATATTTTCAGATAAGGACATTTAATACCTATAAATATTTTATACTTAACTTCTACACTTTTTTTATACTTAATAATAGTTAAATTAATTACACATATTTTTATTTATCTTCTTAATTTGTAGCTAGATAGAAGTCATAGCCCTACATCCTATATCTTTGTATCCCACAAACAGTTAAGATTAACTAATTATTGACAGAAAATCGGATTATCGGAACAAAATTTATTCAGTGTAATAATATTTTTACCAGTTCACTATATAGAAGGTTAATAAAAGTGTGACTTGAGCATACATATATTAGGACAATAGCAAATCAGGAAAACAATATAAGAATTTTTTTTGTTGACATATTGTATACATTTGCATAAGAATATGCGTCCGACTACTCTGAGAATTGATCTTACTTTATTTTATAACAGTCGTTGAACAACCGACCCAATCATGGGTTTACGACTACTAATGTTCAACTCCGTAGTCACGTAATTTTGAACCTATTCCAGAAGACAAGGGAATTCCTGGATTAAGTATTAGGAAAAATTTGCCTTCGAGGAGGACTTTTTGATGGAACTATCAGCATTTGCGTTACATGGAGAGGAAAACCATTTGAGATTTGATTGAAAATGTTTTGATTAAATGCGAATAATTTATGGAAACTCACGATGTGACTTTGGTGATAAAATGTGGAAACCAACTGAAGCTCCGCCGGCATCGTGTCCAGAGATAATGACTCTGTTCCTGTCTCCACCGAAACTTTCTATGTTCTTATGTACCCACTCCATGCACTTTCTCTGATCCCACAGGCCCAGGTTAGCTGGATGCTCTGAACTTACACCACTCAAAAAGCCTATAAGATAAAATTAAAAAAAAAAAGCACTCTTAGTAACTTTTTATCTAACAATCGTTCATCAACGATTAAAAAAAGAAAAATAGAAACATTAGAATAGAACTACCCTTTCGTCACGCTGAGAGAAGAGGTATTTTTTCTTTCCATTTCAATATATTTTTATATNAAAATCTGACACCAAAACATATGTGTATCTAAATATATATATATCTATATATATATATATATATTGAAATGCAAATGGTGGGTATACATATATAATAAAGTCAAAGAGGATAAAAAGAAAAAAACGAAAAAAATTACGAAAAAGAATAAGTTATATTTACTGCGCATAAGCTGCAAGTATACAGAACTCATACTCGTACGTTTGTTTATACAGGAAAGCCGTTTCTCTTGTTAAATATATTAGTTTCACACTATCATAGAAGGTGGAAATACATTTTGCTCTGATTTACCTTTTCCGGCTATTGAGGTTTTTCTAGTTTTTTTTTTTATTTTTATTTTCTATTACACTCTTGGGGTACTGCGGTTTTTCCAGTTTTATTTTCACTTTTATTTATGTTTTCTCGTTACAACTTCACATTTCTTTTTTTAATCACTTTTTTTTCTTCATTCATGTCATGCGAGTTTTAAGAATGGTTGTTTATTTTCTTTATATTTTTTGAAGCCTATGAAGTCTTTGCATCAAGTATAATGGATCGTTCTTAGTCATTATTTTGAGCAGAATCTAAGCAAACATCTATCAATTATTATTTCAACAGGGTTCATGCGGCCCTTAAAACATTTCAAAAATCGGGGCACCTATATAGAAATAAAGAAATTATTTTCAACTTTAAAATTACAATTTCAAAACTTAAGATTTTGTCACCCGATACTTGAAGTCTTATATTGAAATTGATTATTTAATATTGTGGTGAATATAGCTATAATAAAAGGCATTTATCTTCTTAGTTTTTCTGCTACTATTACAGTTTCCTAAAGATCTTACGAATTCTGTCTAAAAGGAGGCTATCATATCAGATATATTTGCAAGGATGGTAAGAATCGTAAAATAAGTTTGTAATAAAAGGAATAAAGCAAAGAAATTATAGTAGCAATATTTGGTGATCGTAACTATTGAACATGTTGAATGACATTTTATGGTGAATTTACGAAAGTCTGTTTTAGAATGTATAAAAACATCAGGATGCTATTTGCAAATTATCTTTATCTAAAGAAAGCCACGTTACTCACATATTTGGTAGAATGAAACAAATTTTTAAAGAAATGAATCATACAATATTCTTAATTATGCATTTTTCAATCTTTTTAAAATGTCACGCAGCATTCACTAATTTCTTCAATTATAAAAAAAGAGAAATCTCCAAAAAAGAAATAAGAGAAATTATAAAACCTTGTGAATGTGTATTATAATTTCTTTCGGATATTTTTATAATTTTTGCGAGATCTTTTTCCTGATTTGCCCTACTAACCTGTATATAATTAAAACAATGCAAATTTGGTTTTAGTATAAAATCCTTATATTGAAAGAAGTTAAATACAACTTAAGATACAAATAATGCTAGGTAAAAAGTTCACGTGTTCAAATACTAAAATCTTGGAAAGTTATAAGTAATTTATAAATCGATTTAAATTTTATTTTTAAAAGAGATGAAAAAGATAGCAAATTTCGAACTTAATTAATAGTCAAACTTAATTAATAACAAAAACTTAATTAATAGTTAGCATTAAATAATTAGCATATTTGAAGTCACACCCAAAAACCATTAAGAAAGACACTTAGCACGTGAAAATCAGATCATTAGAACAAAAGTTATTCAGGGTAATATTTTTTTTTTACTTAATGTACATTATTAGAACAATTGTTAACTTTTTCCACACTCTTCGAAGAAAAAAAATCTTGTAGCTTCCTTCATATTCTTTAAGAAATAGATGCAAATTCCTTATTATTACTTTTTGATTTTAATATTAGAACTGCTAAAGAGACTAACGATTCAATAATTATAAACAGAACAGTTTTAACAATCTCTCTAAAAACATTTTTTTCTTTTTCGCACTGAAACTTTACTTCCTTTTCGTTATTGCTCATGAACTCCCATTTTATATCATTTCACTCCCACTTTTTTACTCTAATCTTCTTTAATACCCCATCTTCATTGCTTCAATTACTTTTACACTTATTTTAAATATGCTAGAGGCTTCTTCTTGTGATTGCTATTGCTTGCCAACTTTTCTTTTCAAATCGCTTTGCCATCTGAGCTTTCCTCGTCCTCTCGTTTCCCATATTCAATCCAAATGGAACGAATGACCAATAAATTGGCAAAAATTACGATGTTGAATAGAATGATATTCATTCATGAAAAAGAACAATTTAACTTTACAATTTAATTAACCCAAAACTAATTAGAAATACATATTTTGCATATTAAGAGTATGTAGCTATAGAAAATCATAGTTCTATTGCCACTAGTTAGAATAACTTAGACGCAAAATATCTCAGAAATTGAAAACGCAATGTCTGCTTTAATCACATTTTCATATCAGAATGCTTCTTAAACATTTCATTAAAAATTTAAAAATTTCGTATTATTTATATTGTTTGTGTAAAGATAATGCGATAATCTTCTTAAACTGCGGTGACGGCAGCAACTTTGCAACAAGTCAGAAACATAATTGTACAGAAATTACCAGCATATTATGAGATATTTCTCATATTGTTTATCTTTCCATCAAAATTTAAAGTTCCAGTAGAAACAAAAAACAGAACTATAAACTTACAAATGAAAAATAAAATTTTATATCAGCAAATACTAGTTATTTTTATACATTGTTTTACATGTAATTGTTATTTCAATACTTGCCTAATATCCCTAATCTATAGTTGGGAATGACGACTATTATATCATGTAAACTCAATAAGAACTCCGGGTGATACTCGTTCTTACTGCCGTAGGAAAACATACCAGCATGAAAATATATCAGGACTGGTCGCAAATCTGCTGTTTCCGAATTCTGAAAGAAAAGAAAAAAAAACAAGCTATGCATATAGAAAGTTCACTGAAGACTATTTCTGCCATCAAATGTATTCATACCAAAATTAATTTCATTTGCAATTTTTTAAAACATTGGTAGAAAACGATTGCGTACTTGAAGAATTTGTTTCAAAATAGAACATGGCGTGAGATAGATAATTCACGAGAAAACTTTTTCCAGTGGCTGGGACCATGAACAAGAATTATAATAAGAATTTGAACTAAGAAATAAAGAATAATAATAAGACCGAAAATTTCCTGAGATACCCAAAGGGTATCACCTTGTAAGATCTCTGACTTCCCAATATTTTGATGATTCCATATCTCCATTGACTGGTGCGCAGGTGATTCATTTATGCTAATTTCTATTTTGTCACACAGGGGGCAGGCAGCCTCGGTATGAATGCCAATGCGGCAGAGATGGGACTGACTGATTTAAGGGGTGGGTATTCGAGACACGTGTCCAGGGACCCTATAACTTATGAGAGGCTCCAAAATATTATGAAATCTACGTTTATCAGATGTAGCAAAAAATTTAAACACGTAAGAGTTTTTTCCCCTTTAACTGCATGAAAATAAAGCTTATTCTATAAAGAGAAAAATAAAAAAGTACTTAAAAATTTTGATTCATACTTGAAAATTTTGATTTGTTAGCATAATATAGACTTTAAATAATTATCGATGATAGATCTTGCCAATCTGTCCGTACGTCCGAAAGCGAGGAAGCCATTTTACTAATCTAAAACATGGTGGCATAAAGCTATAATAGAATTTACAATTCTAGTATCTTTTCTTCTTAAATATCAAATTAATTAAGAAGGGGAAATGGTATTGTCTGAAGTTAGTGGATAAATCCTTTTGCAAAAAAATAACTAAGAATTTAGTTAAATGACTGGATAGAAGTTAAGTATTTGATTCTATATTTATTTCAAACCTTCGTCTTAAAAAATTCTTATTTTATTCCACTTAGAATAAGTTGTGCTTTCAAACAAAAACAAACCATTTTAAACTTTTTTTGAGGTTTTAAATTATTTCAAAACTATAAAAAATAGGTAATGTCACATTTCAGACTAAATTAAGTAAAATTTAAAAGTGTTAGAAACTTTTATGTCGTGAATTTAGAGTCCTTGTTCAAATTATTTGAATTCGTTTTATTCATTTTAAATCAAAAAATATGATTGAAAATAATTAATTTTTTCAATTCTACTTAGTTTTCTTTTATGAATATTTAAGCGAATTCTCTTTTTCCATTGATTCTAGATAATTTTTTTTCATTAAGAAGTCATTTTTTTTTTTTTTTTCCCTGTAAGAATAGAACGTGCATCGTGCATTTATTTATTTATTGATTTTTTTTAATATTATTACTAAACATCATAGTTTAATCCATCTTAGCTATGCCTATTTTGTTTATAATTACCATGTTCATCTTCGCGTTAAAATGTATGGATAAATAAAAATGGAATGTTATGCATTACATTTCTAACATAAACGTCCAAATGCAAGCAATCTTCTTGTCCCATAAAACTATCTCTCTTCTTCATCTTCCCGTGTCGATTCGTAGAAGGTTGTGGACAAAGAATGTCATCCTCTTGCCTTAAATCCTCATGATCCAACCATGAGTCTACATCCTCTGGAAGCTGTAAAAATATATGTATATTGCTTACACATAACTTTTACAAAATTTAATTATGCTTTAAAATTTTTGATATTTCTTTAAAGGGAAGAAATGTACATTGTACAGGGTAACAAAAAAGTATAGGGATCACTTTTGTGGTTATCTACCACTAAAGTTTTAAAACCTTTTCACATATATAGCATACTGATCTAAAGCTCTGCTATTAGACTTTCAGTTGCAATATTATTTCATAAAATCACAAAAATGCCTTTGAAGAAATTTGACAAAAAACTAATTGGTCAAGTACAAGCATTTTTAGAACTTCGATGGAGCCACAGGATTATACAAACTCATTTTGAAAAGAAAGGTATTGCGATTTCACTCAGCCATATCAGTCGCATCAAGAATTCAAAACTCGGATTGATGTAAAATAATGCAAAACCAAGAAGAAGTGGACGGCCAAGCAAATTGAAGAAATCAGATTTGCAGAAGCTTGATAAGATGACATCAAAACCAGATCCACCAGCACAGGCAAGCATGACTGGAGCTCCTAACGTGAGTCAGAAAGTTGTAAGCTATCAACTGAAACAAAAGTTGAAGAAAAAATGCCATAAAAAACCTAATTGTCATCATTTAAGTGAGAGATCGGTGCAGATTAGGAGGCAACGTTCACGGCCCCTCTACAAGCTTCTCCGTAAGGACAGATGACGAAAGTTCATTACAACTAATGAAGCTTGGATCTATCTATCTGATACCAATGCTAAATCTAAAGTTCAATATCTTAGCTGCGGGCAGAACAGGCGAGACTTGACACCATCAACCACGGTGCCTCATCCCAAAGGCGTAATAGTTTGGATGGGCATATCCGCCTATGGTGTGACCAAACCTCGGTTTGTGAAACCTGGGGCCAAAATAAATTCTGAGTATTACATATAGATATTAGAGCCCTTTCTTAAGGATGATTACTGCAGATTGTGCCCTAATGGTGATGCTGTATTTCATCAGGAATCTGCCCCATCGCATGCATCTAAGGTCACCCAGAAATTCATAACAGATCAGCAAGTGCAATTCCTGAGACCAGAACAATGGATTCCAAACAGTCCTGATGCTGCATCGTGTGACTATTTCCTATGGGGACATCTGAAAAACAAACTGAATAAGCGAAGAATTTCTACATTGAGAGGCCTTTAAAGAGCTATTAGAGAAGAGGCGAAGAAAATCCCCCAGGAAATCATCTTGCGGGCTTTAAGCAATTTTGGAAATAAAAACATTCAAAAATGATCCCTATATTTTTTTGTTACCCTGTAATGGGGATTTTATGTCCGCCCCACCTAGTTCAATGTTCGTCGCACTTAATTTTATGTTCGTCCCATTCGAAAAGCTGTCTTCAAAGCTTCCTGAAATTGTATTCCCCACTTTCATTTCTATCCAAAATTTTGCACAAGATATAATGTTCTGAAACAGTGGCTTTTTCTTTAAGTTTCAGAAAATTTAAACATTCCTCTCTTATCGATAAAAGGCATCTTTGTAAGTTAGCAAAAATATCTTAACATGGCTGCTATTAAAAAAGGTACCAAATATTTAACTTTCACCACAAATGAAAGTTTGTCGGAATTTTGCTTTAAAATAAATAATCCAATTTTCGGAAAGCTCTGATGATGATTTTTCAATATATTTCAGCCATTTTGAAGCATAAAATTTCTTTGTGAAATCGGGGTTTACTTCCTCTCTATAGGTATACAATTCAGGTGCATACTAATATCTGTGATTGCATAAACTGGAGAGCAAATTTTGCACAAATACTCGATTTTATACATTTACGCAAATACTCGATCTTTCTTAATTTGGATGTGAGGATTTCAAATCTGAAATTAGCTTTGCTCTTAAATCTATATGTGTTTTTAAAAGGACATTTTAGTCTGCCTTTTCTCGAAATAAATTAAAAAACTTTATATATAACATGGGGTCGCATAAATGTTGCGACAAACTTCTAGGAGAGTTTGGATCATCAGGATTAAAACTGCATAGGAACTCATGTCCGAAAATGTCGTTTGGTTCCGCTAAGGGCCCTTTCCTATTATATTGCGCTTTCAAACAGGTCATGATAGGGAAGCGGCATACAATGACCTTTCCGGGAATGGGTTCCTATGCAATTTTAATTCTGATAATGTGTCCTAACTTCCCTAGAAGTCTGTCGCAACATTTATGCGGAATCGTGTTACATATAAGGTTTTTAAACTTGTACATTTTGACAAAGAATAGACTAAAATGTCATCTTAAAGAGATCTGCAGGTTAAAGAAAGAGAGCGATTGTAAATTTGAAATCAGCAATACGAAATTATCTGATCTTTATTTAAAAAAATTTCCTTCAACAGAAAAAAATTCCCCCCCCCCCCAGTGTTAACAACCTAAAAGAGATTTCACTAAAATCAGATCACAAAAACATTTGGTCTCGTTTCTTTAGTACTATAAATAAAAATATTCGATAATTTTTTATAATAATGGTAAAAATTGTTAAGTTAGGTTTAGTACAACACATGGCATAGTATTTTTGAAATTTAGGTATTTAACAAAATGGTAACACAAAGCAGTTTACATATCGTTTTTAAATAACACAAAACATAACGTTTCAAAAAGTGTTTTTGAAATATTTTTTTTAAGTCCTTAATTTAGAAGAGAAAAATAATATAAAGGAGAAAAAATCCTAAAAATTGCATAAACTTCTTAATAATTAGCGATCTAAAGCTTCTATTTTAGATGCAAAAAATCTAAATTTACTTTCTATAAAATATTTTCTCAAAAAATTGAGGATATGCTTGATAATAATATTTACTTAAAGACATTTCAGACATATGTCTTCTAGACTATTATATAAATATCAATAAAAACATATTTTAAGACTGCAATCAAAATAAATTGCGATAAAAAAATTAATATATCTGAAAATCTATTGGTCTTTTCAGTTCTTGCACATTCAATATAAAAGCTTAATGTCAACTATAAAGAAATGGATAAAATAAAAACACAAACTGTATAATTATTATTCTTTTGCCCTGATTGAACAGTTAAGAAAATAAAAGTAAAAATAACAGTTTGCTTTATGTTAGTCCCAATAGACTCTAGCAGATCTTGAAAGCAGTGATTTCTAAATGTCTTTGAGTAAAACATTTGTACATTGTGAAAATTATTTAACGTAAAAAGTACATCACCAGTCAAACGACCGTATTACGAAGAAATTTATGATCTTAACTTTTATGAATGTTTTTTCCTCGCGCAATACAACACCTCAAAAAGTTAGTTTAGTGTTCTTTGACAAATATTATTTGTCTTTTAGAGAATTATTGATAATCACCATTAGTTTTAGTGTATGTGTTTTAATGAAGTGTATTGTGTAATGAGGTGTATTGAGGTCATAAATGCTTTATATTCACTTGAAATAAAATAGCAATATACTTCGTAAAAATAAACACTGATACAAATATTATTTTTCAGTCCCATTATCTCGTTAATTTCCAAAAATGCTTCACTACTCTTTCTTTTATGCTTCACTACTCTTTCTCTACAAAAAACAATAAGATATTAGAACTATAAATTAGACTATTTAATGTTTGAGAAAGTTTTTTCATATTTTGAAAAAGTCTGCACTTTCTTACATAAAAATGCGTAAAACACATTTATTCAGGATGTTCCGTTGAGACCACCCTTAATATGCATTTTTAGAATTCCCTTTAAAAGTGAAAACTAAAAAGTATTACGTTAATATCTAAACTAGGAAAAAGCAAAACGCTACCGAAATCTAACAAATCACAGTACAGGAAAGGAAATGTAATAAAAAACAAAACATATTTGCTAGCGGAAGGAAAGAGAGAGGCGTTAAAAGGCGATTCTAAAAATATCTTCAAATTTCAACCTCTAGTTCCTGCTTTGATGTTTATAAAATTAGTCTTCCTCTAGTGTAATTTGTCATTTTTCGATTGTGTTTTTGTTTTCCCCCCGCTAAAATATTAGTTTTTGCTATTGCCGAAAGTACCTCCCTTATCATAGTACCACCCTCTTACGAGTAGTCTTAATAGAATGTTCTTAATTTAACAGAACTGACTTTCATTAAGATTAAGATTTGATTATACAATTTTAAGCAATGCACAACAAGGAAAAAAAACCTACGAAATTGAAAGTCCAATAATTCAAAAACAAATTAAAGTGTAGCAGAAAAGAAACTGGACACTTAGTACACAAGGGTTTCGACAAGTTTAGTAATTAATAGAGCTTAAATTAATGACTGAATTAAAAATAAGTATCTTAATGTATCGCTCCTTGTAATCCGTAAGTTCTTCTATAAATTTTTAAAATTTAAAGTTTTAAACAAGTAGTTGGAAGTTTTAAGTGAGTAGCGAAAGAAAAACACACACACACACAATACAGTACCCATGAAATTGAAGTAGCGCTACATTGTATTAAGTATGGAAAATGTAAGATTTTAATATCCTTTACCTCAAATCTTAAATTTCCTGTGGGAGGTTTTGCGTACGGAATGTTTTTAAAAATATTAATAGAAACGGACTCCAAATTTGATTCATATCCTTTCACTGGTCCATGATTGGTCTGAATCACTATTGCATCACATAAAATCCACAATACTGTAGAGAATTCAACACTCAAATATAGTTTGTAAAAGGAAACTTGGTAATATACACTGGAAACTGTATCCATTCTTGAATAAATAAGTATTAAATGCACTCACAGATAGAAAAAATCATTCTTTAGCATCAGTTTTTGAAACTGATAATAACTAAAGAGGAAAGGAAAAAAAACGCAAATAAACACGAAGTTCACTTTAAAAGTCCTATCAGCGGTCACAGATAAACATACACTCAGCATCTCCGCAAATATTTATTTTTCATAGAGAGACATGTGTAATTTATCTCAGTAAATATTTCTTTATCGGACAAGTTTTCGAGGTTATCAGGAGAATTTAATATATAGTAGCACACATTTAAGTAAGTTTTTTTCCTTCTGGAACTGTTCAGGTACAAAAGTTCTTGTCTGCATTTGTGTTATTTATCACTAATATTTCATGAATAGTCAGATAATTCTTTTGGGTTATTCAAGTTCAAAAAGTTCCGTGAAAAGGATTTCTTCTTTTATAATTTTTTATCTGACTACTTAGAACAAAAGCCCCTCTTTTCATGGATTTTTTCATTAAAATTGAAATTTTTATTTTTTTAAAATTTATTTCATTTATTTATTTGTTCTTTTCAAGAGATATCTTTAAACAGAACAATACATTTTTAAAAAATGCAGGAAATTACAAGATAGATTTGCACAATTTATTGAAAGCAGTTGTGTTATTATTTATCAGCAACAATTTATGAATAATCAGATAATTCTTTTGGGTGATTCAAGTTCAAAAAAGTTTTGGTCAAGAGATTTTTTTAAAGTTTCTATTTTTTACAAGACTACTCTGTACCTAGAACCCTTTTCCCTCACAATTTTAGATTTTTGGTTCCATTTAAAGGTTTCATTTTCTTTATTTTTTGTTCTTTTGAAGGTGTATTTTTCAATAGCTCAATATCTCTAAGCAATTTCAGAAAATTTTCAGGATTTACTCTTCATTAGAGTGGGAGAAAGTGTACATTATAGCCTTTAGAAGTTGTTGTGGATTATTTTTTCCAAAATATTCAAAGCAATTTGAAGATACTTTAATTTTTTTTCTGCATTTTTAAAAAAAAATATTTCCTTTTTACTTCAATTGATGAAAAGCGATTTCGAAGAAGATGTACGTTTCATTTTACGTAATTCTGGGAGGAAAAAATGAAAAAAACATTTTTTAAATAATTTTAAATCAGATTAACGATTAACAAACGATTCTAAATTATCTATATAAAAATGTTAATTTCAGAACTGTATTGATAAAATTGCATTATTGCATTGTCAATGTTATTTTTGGACCCAAAGTTATTGAAGTAAAAGATGATACTTAAAAGTATTGCCTTGTTATAACTTTTTTTTTTCTTTCAAATTTTATAACCAGTGTTGGAAAGCCGATGTAATTTTGAATTTAAGACTATCAACTCAGTTGCCTCGTAATTTTGAAAGCAACCCAGAAGAAAGAGAACTCCTTGATCAAGCATTAGGACAAACTATTTTTCGCGAAAGACTTTTTGATGGAACTAACATGCATTTACATTACCTGGCGAGGAAATCTCCCACGGTTAGCCCGTTGGAAAGGGTATTCTAACCCATGATCCCACGGAGGATATTTTACGTCAGCTCTGTGATTGGTGCGAGCTGGAAGCAGAATTCGTATCAATCAGCCATAGCTCGGATTCGAACCTGGGCCACCTCATAGGGAAGCATACGCTCGATCCCCTGAGCCACTGCGGCTCACATTGTTATTACTTGTCGATAAAAATTATAGCTCAGTTTTCACATGAGACAAGTATAATGACGCGTTAAGACCACGAAAATCATCCGTGTCTGATATTTAAAAAGAAAAGTGGTAAAGCGAATACTTTGTTACTTTCATCACGTTTTTTTAAAACGTAAAAGTCCACTCGTTAATGCATTAATAATTCGGTAATTTCATTTCTGAATAAATCAAGCATGTTTTTGAACTTAAGTTGCAATTAATATATAATAAGGCTTTAAAAACTTTCAAAACTGCCCAATTAGGGGGAAGTTAAATTTTTACTCATCCTTGTCTTAAGTAGATATTCTTCCGCCTAAAAAATATAATTTTACGTGTAAACTAAAGCGAAAATGTGATAAGAGAGTGAGTTTAAAATGAAGAGAAATGAAAAAAATAAATGTAAAATTTAAAAACAATATTGCACAATAGTAATATTTTAAATGTTTTTACGGTTTTCTTTAGTTTACGAAAATCGAATTAAAAATTAACTTTATAAAAAAGAAAGAAAATGAGTGGTACTTTTCAACTACGTTTTTATTAACTCGTTTTTTCTAGTCCGTAATGTTGAAATCTCGGAATCAAAATTTCCACCACTTTCTGACTAACTAGGGTGCTCAAATCTCTACCGTAATTCAGTTCTGAATGGCAAAGCAGGCTTCAATCGGTTTCTGAGAGATACAGGAAGAATTTTACGCATTATTATAGCCAAAAGTAAGAAATTATAGTAAATTGAAATGCCAATCATTTTCTAACTAACTAGACACTCCGTGCTGAATGACATGTGCTAGTTTCAATGGTTTTCCGACTTTTTAAAATTTGTATTTATTGTCATAAGAATTTTATCGCCAATCAAATTCCGATCACTTTCCGTCCAGCTAGAATATTCAATTTTTAACTGGAGCTATGTGCTGAATTACGATGATCGATTTAATTGTTTGCTGACCACAACAAAAAAACATTATTGTCATTTTATCGCCAAATAAATATCGTCAATAAAAACTTAGGAATTTTTTCAACTAAATAGCAATAGTATCCAACTTTAACTGAATTTCCGCACTAAATTACAATGGCCAACTCAATTGTTTCTTGACCACAAGAAAAATTTATTGTCGTTTTATCGGCAAGTAGAATTCCTTCGACTAACTGGCGATAGCATCAAATTTTAACAGTAACTTTATGCTAGAAGACAAAGCAAGTTGAAACCGATTCCTAACTGCTTTTAAGTAGAATTTTTTTTAATTATGTTATTGTTAAATGAAATTTCGACACTTGCCCACAGAAACTAACAGACCTACAACTGTAAGGAAAAAAAATAATACAATAAAAGTTTATAAAACTAATTTTTCTAAATAGGTCTCTAAGTTTTCTAAATGGACAAAAAGGGCGCATACAATTCTGTCTTGCCTAAAACGAAAAATGTTGGGCACATCATTTTCGTAATAAAGCTATTCTACACTAAAACTCTTTTCTTGAAACCACGGAAAATTTTCCCACTTGTCATTCGAAAGTGATGTGTCCTACGTTTTTAGTGTTAGGCGCGACCTTTTTTAAATCTTAGTAGACACCGTTTTTAAAATTTTTAAAATTATTCTTTAAATACTAAAGAAAATAAGATTTTTGCGTCACTGTACTTAAATAAGTAAATTGTTGGCTGCATTAGGCAATATTTTATTAAGTAAAAACTTACCACATTTGCATAATATAGAAAAGAAGAACTAAATAGAAAAGTATATTGCTTTAAGGCGTAGATGATTTAGAATATTTAAATGCTACGCTAATTGATCTGGAACCTATTTTTAAAAGATTTCACAACAATTTTCTAGGAACTAGAAATTTCTTCTTCAGGTCAATTATATGCAAGTGTTTTCGATTTATCATAGTTCAAGGTTTTATTTTAAAAGTCTCATTTAAGAGATTTAACCTCACAATCCTTATAAATTGAATTGACTTTAGGGAATCATGTTTGATAATAAATTATAGAAATTTTAAATATTGCTATTTATTATTTAGCGGGGGTATTATATTATAATATACAAAACCAATGGTATAGATTTTTCTTAATTTTGGATGGACACGTGGTATTTAATGACCAAAGCTGTCCAAAACTGCCTTAAAGTGTATTAACTTCTTGAAAATCGAACTTTAAATAGTGGCAGAAAATAAAATTTTAGCTTAGAAATATGCGGCTTAGAAGAAGTTTAATTTATTATTATTTTTTAAATTCAGTTAATTAAACTTAACAAATTCTTTGAAGTTACTTTTAATTATTTCATAAAAAATGATTAATTATAATTTTTCGCATATTGATATTTTTATAACGCATTTCTTCTCATTTTGGTCGTCACAAAATCCACTTGACTTTAATAATAAATAACCATAATCAATATAATAAGTATTCTCATATTGTAAATCTACCATAGAACTGTCTAAAGGCTAATTGAATCAAATTTCTTACTTGTCTTATATTTTTTCAATGTAATTGTAATTTCGGAAGAACGATGGTAAATCCAATTATAACTCCTTATAAAGGCATAAAAAACCGAAAAATAATCATGAAATATTATTTTGCATGTGATAAAATTGCACCAAATGTTGTCAAATATATTGAACAGGGCTTTAAAGTGGCCAAATTCTTTAATTTTAAAAATAGTTAAAATACTAAACACAAAAACCAAATGTAATCATCACCTATTGCATGTGAAACGAACATCAGATTGTATCTTTATTGATATTTAATTATAAGAGCAGAATTGGAAAATAATTCTGTTGGAAAAAATACATCATTCCATTTGAAATTATTAATCTAATTTTATCTATTTTATTCCATTTAATCCAAAAGATAATCGAAGTGTTGAATATGATAATTGAAAAAGATTGCCACCAAATTGTTACTTTCCATTTTAACAAAAATAGTTAAAAGAACTAACTAAATGAAATATGAGTAGCATAGTAATTAAAATTAGTGTAAAATATCTTCTAAAATCGGATATTAAATATCTCCTAATTCGCCGACCAGGTGGCCGAGGGGTTAGCGTGCCTGACCGCGGAGCCGATGGTTGCGGGTTCGAATAATCTAAAAGATAATCGAAGTGTTGAATATGATAATTGAAAAAGATTGCCACCAAATTGTTACTTTCCATTTTAACAAAAATAGTTAAAAGAACTAACTAAATGTAATATGAGTAGCATAATAATTAAAATTAGTGTAAAATATCTTCTAAAATCGCACATTAAATATCTCCTAAATCGCCGACCAGGTGGCCGAGTGGTTAGCATGCCTGACCGCGGAGCCAATGGTTGCGGGTTCGAATCCTGCTCAGGGCATGGATGTTTCTTTCTCTTTGTGTTCTATGTCCCTTCTTCTGTGTGATTGTGTGAATGCCACCCGCACTATAAACGGATTTGTGGTTGTATGACGTGGGCGACGCTGCTCCACCGCCGTGGCTTAGCCATAGGTGCTCACTGGGTAACGACAAGA